CTATTGGCCCCTGTACCCTCATTTACCATTGGCCTCTGTACCCTCATTTACCATTGGCCACAGTACCCTCATTTACCACTGGCCACTGTACCCTCATTTCCCATTAGCCAATGTTACCTCATTTACTATTAGCCATGCACTGTACCCTCATTTACTATTAGCCACTGTACCCTCAATTACCATTGGCCACTGTACCCTCATTTACCATTGGCCACTGTACCCTCATTTACCATTAGCCAATGTTACCTCATTTACCATTAGCCTTGCACTGTACCCTCATTTACAATTAGCCACTGTACCTTCATTTGCCATTGGTCATGGTACCCTAATTTACCATTGGCCACTGTACCCTCATTTACCATTAGCCACTTGACCACAGCCATCCAAAGATCAAATTCATCTTTGACCACCAGGCAGGATGAGTTCAACATCTCAATCAGCTGATCTTTGTCCAAACTCAGCCACTCCGCCTCCCATTCGGCCGTATTTATAACTTCGTCCATCTTTAAAGCCAACGCCTGTTGACAGAGGAGAAGATCTCTTACTGAGAAATCATCCATATCTTTGTCTTTGTAATGAGCTTAAATAATAATTGTAAACTTGTAACTACAACTCTAAAGATTCTTGTTATTATGATAGCAAATTGAAACTTTGCCAATCAGATCTGTCAACAAAATTACACCTAAATGAGGAGGCCAACACTTCAGAAGAACATAAGCTAAACACAATGTGGGCAGATACTCATCATTCTGGTATAAGGGCTTTAGAATGGGGATTGGGGTGCGGGAAGGGAAGGCGGGAAGACACTTTGCTTGACAAGAAACTTTGAATGAAATTAACTACTGCTTTTTTAAAATAAAATTTAAAAAAATAATAAAATATCTGTCATTTATAGCCTAGTGTAGCGTAGGGCTTGGCTTATTTTAAAATTCCCCATAGAGCTTTTTGTAGCCACCACTTGTCTGCTAGTAGGGACCTTGATACTGACGTACGGTACCCGAGTAAATGGGTTGTGTCACTCCTTCCCTGCCCGCCCCTTGTTGTGGGGTTGTTAACATTCGAATTCGTTCCTTGCGTTATCAAGAATGCCATTAGGTAACACAATTTCTAGATTTCCTTTACTAGAACGTTCGGATTTAATTCCTATTTAAGACCTGGCAGGACTCTAAGCAGATATACATAACGAGACTTAGAGCGACATCGCGATGCAGATAGATAGAGCGAGAGAGAACGAGAGAGAAATCTTTGCTACAAGAGATTGTGTGTGTAAATTAATATTTGTATTTTGAGGAGTGTATATTTTTTTCAACTTGATTTTAAGTTGATACAGTTTTGTGTGCCTTTTTTTTTCCTTTCGTACGCAAATTCGTATTTGCAATTAAATTAAAAAAAAAAAAATTTATGATGAAAGTAAATATTGTTGGTTTTACTAGCTTTGGTTTCGTTTTCTTAGCATACTGTTTTCATCAGTCCTTTGTTATGCTTTGTTTCTTGTATGAGTCCAAATCTTAACGCATATTAAATCTTCAAAACCATAACGGTAGGTAACCATATCTCTTTTACAGAAGTGAGAATAAGTTTTATCCATTAAAAAAAAAAGGAAGAGGGGTCCCTGGGGCTTAATCAGGTCACGGTATTGAAATTCAATCTTGCTGACGGTAGTAGGGAGGGTGGAGGTATATAAAAAAAAAAATAAAAAAAAATAAAAAAAAAAAAGGAAATATTTTATTTTAAAAACTGAGTGGGTTGGAAAAGGGGACATAACACCTTGTAGGTTCTCAGGTGGAGTGAACATGGTTACCGTAATCATCACCGACGTAGTATAATCTCTATTTCAGCATAATTTCCATAAACTCAAAATCTCACGCGATTTCGGCGGAATATTGAGGCCTCAGTGAGCACCTGGCCCAGCCAATAAAATGATCCGAGGCCACTGATACATATTGTCTTCCTCGCAACATCTCTGAAGTCACGTATTGTTCATCGCACTATACACATACACATCAATCTCTGACATCACTCTACCAAACCACCCTTTCTATCTTTTGTCCATTCATTTCTTAATTTATCCATATCAATTTATAATTAAGAATTTTAAATGTAGTAACCGAAAAAATACCCCCCCCCCTTTTTTTTTTTCCCCTTCTCGCCTTCACGAAGAAGACGTACCATTTCCTAAACCATGAAATTTTCCACCTATTAAAAAAAAAATATGTGCAATTTCGTTTCGTACCAACCTTAATATTGAAACTGATAGTTCCGCCTCCGTTTACACACAAAAAAAACAGTACAAGGATGTATTACCGGACTATGTTATCACGTACACTCAAACACAAACATTCGTGAAGATGTGTTCGGGGGTTGAATCAGAAGTAGGGCATAGTGTGATGAACACAATTAATGTATGTTAAAAAAAAAAAAAACAGCCCCCACTAAGTTTCTATAAATAGACCCTTCTTCCTATTCCGGTGTCTCATGTTTCCAAAGCTCTGCAGGAGGTCGCTATAAATAGAACCCAGAGCAGGAAACTAAAGCTCCTCTACAGCCTTGACCAGTCATGGAGGATTACTCCACTGAAAACCACGATCTCTTTACTGCTGAGTGCAGGGGCGCACCCTAGAGAGCAATTAATTACACTGGAAAGAAAAAAAAAACTGTGATAAAGTCAGTTTTGGGGTATGTAAAAAGGGAAAGGGGGGGAGGGTGGTAGTCAGTGTTTTATCAAAGGATTTTCTTTTAAAGAAATTGTATTAAAACAATTTTTTTTTTTTGTTGAAATAGCGCACAACACCACTGTGGCTTCTTCATTTTGCTGGCCACGCCCCTGACGGGCAAACACTTTAACACAAAGCTATGCCACTGAATCATCTATGTAAAAATGTCCATATCGACAATAGGACATCGTGATTACCCTCCTCTTTCTTCTTCTTTTTTTTTTTCCTTCTTTTTTTTTTTTTTCTTTTTGTTATTATTTAAAAGCCTTATTGTTTTTTTTTTTTTTTTTTCCTTTTTTTTTTTTTTTTTCTTCTTTTTACTATTTAAAAGCCATACTGTATTTACCCTCGCCATACTGTAACGTGATCTAGTCCGTAGGGACATAAAGACAGGTAAAGCTCAGCAGGAAGTCAAATACCACAGTTCATCCGGTCACATAATTTTTTATTTTTTTTAGTTAGGTTGTTTTTTTGTTTTTTTTTTGCATTGGTCCAAGCGAGCGTTCTTTACCCATTTGTAACGCTGCGCCACCAGTTTTTATTTCAAAATATTTCCAGCAAACCAAGTCTATAGGACCTCCCCCCCCCCCCACCTACCCCTTTAACGATAAAAAATGCAAATAAACATGATTTTCTCATACCCCATGAAACTGCCTCCCGCCCCCCTCGGGGTGTGTGTGTGTGGGGGGGGGTAAAGCACTTCTGGTTAAGAAAGCCCTGGTCCTAGACCATGAGGTAGATGTTGTGTTAAGCTGAAGGCAGACAAGCGTCACCATACACTATTTTATTTACTGGTTAGTTGTTTCATTTTCCGCCTTGACGAGTTCTGCTCTACATCTGAACGTCACGTGCTTCTTCCAGCCGTGCAAGGAAATATGTTTTTTTTTTTTTTTTTTTTTTGAAAATATTATCAGATCCTAAATGACTTAATGGAAAGCCGCGGATCAGACAGTATGGCGAATGGAACTTTTTTTTTAACACACCTGGGACCCCCTGGTCTCTAGACGTACACGAAAATTATGATCCCCTGTGACATGGTTAAAATATGTGTGTTAATCTTGATGAAGCGCTATATGTAAAATATAACTGTGACCCACAATGCCACTTCAGCACGCTATGGGGGATGATAGCTCGAATATTATTGTACTTTGACGTACATTTCTTCAAAGCCTAATCATAATTTGGGAATGCAAGGTTGAGACTCCGAGTACTTTTTAACACAATGCTTACAGCCAACAGTTTATTATCAAGTGAAAACTTGGATCAACATGTTCATCTAGAAACCAAGAAACTACATAAGAGTGTGTGCATTTTTTAAAAAAACTTTTAATTTCACTACCATGAAACATTTTCCTCTAAAAATTTTAGGGTTTAGGGTTGTGGCGGCACCAACCGATAACCCCTGTATTCTCTGACCAGATTCAGTCCGTATAGATGTGTACCGATCAATTATTTTTTTTTAATTCTCAGTGACCAAATCCGACCAGTTAAGCCCCAGACCAAATGCTCTCTCCCGAATTCAGCGTGTGGTCCAAAGGTGTCTTATTAAAAAATAGCTTACGCCCCTTCCAGGTCCATTTCAGGTCTATTCGGTGGCCTTGAGCTCCCTCCTACGTCTTATGGCTCGGACTTATAATCTCTATTGACGCGGCTACCTCTCTTTTAAATACAAACTCTACAGTCAGACCGAGTGCGCGTGATAATTGTTTGCCAGGGGGCAGGGGCAACCAGTGTTATTATATAATCCAGCGCATCATCAGATCTCTTTCTTCTCTTAGAACTTTTACTCCTCTATTTTCACACCACCAACCATAAGCTATTTTTAAAAAAAAGAAGAAATTAAGCGCCAATGGAACAATGATTTCTGATTGGTTGGACCTGAAGGGCTCGGGGAATTCGCGCCACACGTAAAAAAATCTGACCAACGGCGAGTTAGGTGACCAACAATAACAACATGTTTTGAGCATGCGGACAATGTGTGGGTCTTGGGCCAGAAGAAGGTGGGAGTTGAGAGTTTATTTTGAGATGATAAGAGACTTGTCAAGAATGAAAGCATTTCAGACGGGTGTGCAGAAATGGAGGAATTTATTAATAGATTTGGGGGAATGGTTGACAGAAAGGGGGAAAAGATTTCTTGTAAAGATATGGGGGGTGTGGGGGTGAAGGGGGAAATTAAGCGAGAGAGAGAGAGAGAGAGAGAGAGAGAGAGAGAAAAGACAAGGAGGGAGAGGTCAAGAAGTTGGATTAGAATTGACCAGGTCGATATCTGGATGGCCGGATGGAGAAAAGAAACGAATGAACCAACGGACGTTTAATGAATGGGTGAATAGTGGGTTGAGGAGCCCGTTCACAGATGGTTCAATACATAGATTGTTCAATAAATAGATAGATTGTTAAATAAAAAGATAGCAGAACGAAAGGTTATGATACGGTTAAATGATCAGAGAAAATGGCATTGGGATATGGGTTGAGGGGGGCAGAAGAGTAAACGGATAGACTGGTGGATGAGGGATACAGGGGGCAATAAACCAATATGACCGTAAGAACGACTGTGGTACACATGGGTAAACAGAGGCACCGCTGGATGGAGCTACTGGAACAGATGGAGACAATAGTTAATGGACTAAGAAATTGATTTTCAAAAAAAGGAACCAATGGCCGAATAAAAACAAATGTGGATTTATAGAGGGATGAGAAGATGGATGAAGAAATGAGGGAATGAAATAAGGGCAATGGAAAATCAGACGCGAGTTTAAACTCGTAATGTAAAAACTACAAATGTTTCTGTGTAGGCGTGATTGTTCAAGTGAACA